AGAAGTGAAGCAGTTCGCCTACATGTATGTAACCTGTAAGTGTTCAAACTGAGGCATATCTGATGTCAGCACCTCCTTCTTGCCCCACATCCCCAGTTGTGCTATCAAGGAATATTTCCCTTTGAACCTACCTAGGAAAGAAAAATGGAAGGTATAATTCAGTGCCATTCACATGTTGATCTTTACATTGTTAGCCACAGTGTATCTTAACCCTTATTTTAATCCCAGTTTAGTAAACAGTGACTTTTTCTGATGTGCTCATAAAGCTCTTTTTTGCCTCCCACAATTCAGTCTTTTAACTTGTAGGTAGCTCAGGGCTTCCCTTAGCACCCTCCTCCTGCTTTGCTCCTCCTCCCCACAGCATTTGAGGTTGTCAGTGCCAATCACTAGTTAATGCATCATGGTCTTTTTTCAAGTCTCAGTGATTTAAAACAGGTTCTACTCAACTCTAACTCCCGTGCATTCATTTTTGGTGGTTAAAATTATAAAAGTTATATACATTTAATGTGAGTATTTCAACCCTGGTGCGCTACATATCCCAACTCCCTTCTCAGCTTACAGCAGTGGTTCTTAACCTTCCTAATGCTGCGGCCCTCTAATATAGTTCCTGTGGGTGGCGACCCACAGGTTGAGTACTGCTGGCTTACAGGAAGATGAAAACACTGATTCTCATTTTGAGAGAAACCATCAACCCTTCCATTATCGATTTATAGCTAATTACTGGTTATTGTGGAAATTTATGATTCTAGTTAAAGCTTCTGTGTAAAGATTACAACTTAGTTCCCACTTTTTTTATGGCTTCTTTGAAGCTCTCCTTAAAAGAAATAGCCAGAAGAAATCTCTTTAAAATATGTAAAAAATTAGCTTAGGTTTTTATCCATCACTAGTAGCATACCAGTTTCCAAGACAGGATGGATTTTTTTACTTCCTTATGGTATAGTAAAGAACCAGGCTCCAGGCTTTTATCATAAGACATTTTTTCTTTTTCTTTTTTTTTTTTTGAGATAGAGCCTCACTCTCTTGTCCTGGGTAGAGCACCAGAGTATCAGAGCTCACAGCAACCTCAAACTCTTGGGGGCTCAAATGATCCTCTTGTGGGCTCAAATGATCCTCTTGCCTCAGACTCCTGAGTAACTGGAACTACACGTGCCCACCACAGTGCCCACCTAATTTTTCTATTTTTAGTAGAGATGGGGATCAAATTCCTGAGCTTAGGCAATCTACCCACTTCAGTCTCCCCGAATGCTAAGATTACAGACAGGTTTGAGCCACCAGGTCCATAGGGAATTATCTTGTAGGTGGTAGAAGGAAGTCAGTTTGGGCAGGATGTACATTGGAAGGTGCTTAAATTATTCTTTATAGTTTCATGTTTACATTTAGGGCTTTTATCCTAATGAATGGCACTTCTTTCTTAGTGTACCTCGGTATGATCAGCCACCTCCTGTCACATACCAGCCACAGCAAACTGAAAGAAATCAGTCCCTTCTAGTACCTGCAAATCCATATCACACTGCAGAAATTCCTGACTGGCTTCAGGTTTATGCTCGAGCCCCTGTGAAGTAAGTGTTTTTACAGACGAGTTGTTTTCTGAGGGGGGAATAGAGGGCTGAATAGGGTCTCTGCACGCTTAATCCAAGTAGCTCCATGTTTTCCTCTTAATAATATTGGGCTTTAAGTAATATTTCATTTGGAGAAAGGATACCACAGCTTAAAAGTTTGAAAATTATTGGTTAGAAATATTGCCTCAAACATTTATTGAATCTTCACATCTCTGCAGACCTCTGCTCTTAGGGGTATAATAAGAAGGTTTACATCCTCATAGGAGAAGATTGACTTGTAGATAAGTGGTACAGTACTGGTGTTGAGAATAAGGACTCAGGTAAGTCCTAGATACCTGGGTGGGGCAAAGCAAGACAAAGGAAGTAGTATAGCATAGTGGCTGTGACTTGAGGGATGAGATGATATGAGTTCTCTGGTACTTTTTAAACTGTGTAACCTTGGACAGGTGGTTTAACATAGTTTTGTCTCCTTTAAATTGGGGACAGTAATAGTTCCTTTAGTAACTCTTAAGGTTATGAAAAGTTTACCTTAAGAGTTATTAAAAGTTCAATAAGGAAATGTATCTGAAATATTTGTCCCAGTGTCTTGCACATTAAGAGACTTCAAAATGACTGTCATTCGTATTGGGGGTAGGTATATAGTTGGGAGTGCTCAGGTGGGAAACTGAGTGTGATCTCTAGCTCTGTTGCCTGTTTACTGAGTGACCTTGGATAAGTTACTGAATGTATGTGTGTTTCCTCTACTGAAACCTGGGAATAATAATCTTAGCTACCTATTTGTCAAGGTTTACAAGAGCTAGTGCATTTTAAAGCACAAGGTACAGTAACTACCAGTGTTAGGAGTAATGTACCACTCTCCAAGATATATGTAGACACAATCTTATGTGAGTCCTTTGCCACATTGCAGAGAGTTCTATAGTCTGCTTATTTTCTTATTTTGAAATCAGTTTATTCTTTCCTTCTTGAGTTTTTTTTTTTTTTTTTAAATACTGTGTACCTAGCCTCAGGAAGACTTGCCCATGAATGATGGTTCCTCTCTGCTGCTAACTCTTCTGTTTGGGTCCTTGTTTGCTGTAGTAAACAGCATTCCTCAGAAAGATCTGTCAACACGAATGGCTTTGCCCTTGTTATGCATTATCATTTGCCGCCACAGTGTGGTCTAAACTTTAAGTATTCTTAAGTTCTTGACAGTTAACTTTGGATGAACTTATAAATAGTATAGAATGTATTCTTCAGAAATTACAGAATCATTGTAGTTTTAGAATCCTTGTTCATAGTTGTCTAGTGTTAGAATAACTGATAATTAAAAGAAATGGGTATTCTTTAACTTAAATAGAAATGAAGTAATATTAGCAGTTTTCTCCTTTATCCTAAAAAAGTTCATTTAAATAGCAGTTTATAACTCATTTTCAATTAAAACTTATGGTCTGCTTAATTATAATAGTTGATATTTGAAAAAATAGACTAGTTTTTTGCGGTATGTGTTGTGAGTATATGTATGACTGTTTTCAAACAGATATGACCACATTCTGAAGTGGGAACTCTTCCAGCTGGCTGACCTGGACACATACCAGGGAATGCTGAAGTTGCTCTTCATGAAAGAACTGGAACAGATCGTTAAAATGTATGAAGCATACAGACAGGCTCTTCTCTCGGAGCTGGAAAACCGCAAGCAGAGACAGCAGTGGTATGCCCAACAACATGGCAAGAACTTTTAAGTTAATATTTTGACAATTTAAGTTTTATAAAAGCTTTAAAATATTTTCACAGATAAACTGCACACAAGTACTTTGGTTAATAAAGACAGCTTACTTTTTGGAAATCATAAAATTCTAATTTTACATGTATTTTGTTATATAAATTAACTTTCCTTGAGCAAAACAATGAGTTTATCATTTTAAGAGGAACATGTCAAACACTTTCAAATGCTGTGCTAGGAAACAGCATTGAATATTCCTAATGGAGAAAAATGGCAGCAAGAAGGGTCATTCAGACCAGATGGTGAGCAGGACGTCATTGCTTGGAAGCATCCAACAGCAGCAGGACATTTTTTTTTTTTTTTTTGATAAAAAAGAGATTGACAATCTATGCAGTATTTTTAAAAAAGATGTTTACTGCTTTAGTGTGGAATATTGTCTGGAATGGGATGGTTTAATATTGCTATTAGTGTGGTTCAAAATACAAAACAGGAGATGGGACTTTTCTTGTGATAAATTTCCATATATAATGTATGTGGTAGTGTCCCTCCCCCTCCCCGTGAGGAACCCTTTTAAAGCATGTTGAGAAAGTGTTTTTTGGTATGGAAAGGTGAATAGCCTTTAAATGATCCCAGAATACATACACGTGTAAGACCTTACTGTGTCTGGGGAAGCTGTGTGTGTGTAGCATTTACAGTTGGTAATACGCGTCCCTCCTCTCAGCAGAGGTCTTGCTGTACTTGTATAGTACTGAGGACAGGCTGGGCTGAGCCGTCAAAAATGACAATCAGGGATTCAATATGAAATTTGGGCCATTAAATTGGTTTTCTATTATTTTTTATCTTGTAAGCATTTGTAAAAGAACTTTTAAAACCATATTATTTCCCTCCAAGTCTTTTTTGTTTGTCACAGTACATTTGATTGTAGATAAATTTATGATGCTTCTAGGTTATAAATCTCTACAATTCTGTGAATGTCAATATTAGTTGAAGTAGTTCTTCAGTTATATTTACATGAGTTGTAAATATGTAAATACATTTTTAGTTTAGGTAATCTTCCAAAATACACAGCACTCTCAGATATCAGTGAGTCTGAATTATTGATGAAATGTTGAAAATGTTAAGTGTTTGATTTTATACAACAAGCTTATTAAATATATTTTTGTGGAAACAAAGTGTGGTTTTTGAGTCCATGTTTTAGACACAGTGCTATAAATATTTAATTTTTCTGTTCAGAAGGCCCATAGGCCATGGAAGCAATATAATGAAAAGGGTGTTGAAAATGAACATCTGGCTAAGAATCTTACCAGAGAAAAGATAATTTGCTGAATTTAGGATCAAACTTTTTAAGATATAAGTTTATGTATCACACGCTTCCTTCTTACTGTTCTTTCCTATTATTCCTTTATATTGCCATTTAATTTAATTCAGGAATAGCCATTCTGAGACTGCCTTTTGAAATCACTGTTTCGGATCTCCTAAATAAAAAGTATTACTTTTCTTTTTTCATTATCATATCCTTTTTTCCCCTCTCAGAGGTCTGCTCTATGAAACTCCATTAAAGATTGATTTTAGTCATTAGAAATAAAATATAGAATCACTGGTTTAAAAGTACCGGAAGGTATTTAAAGGGATTAGTATATGTTTCTAAAATGGAAACTTACATTGTAATGCCATCAACATTAAAGAAAACGCATCTTGAATTAAAAAAAGAGTCATCATTCTGTATCAGCACCTCCCAAACATTTTCAAATTCAGTAAGCATTTGTCTTTAATCTTAGGAACCCGAGTAAACTTTAATAATAGTTCACATATTAAAAGAATAAACCTATGAAGAATACATTCTTTGTGTACCAAATGAAAAAATATACAATGCGGTGAAACTTAAATACATATACAAAGTGATTTTTTGTGCATTTTTGATCACGATGTTTATAGTCTATATTAAATAATGTAAAAGAAGCAATATATATATATACAGTAAAGCAACTGAAAAGTTTTTAATGTACTTAAAAATAAGAGGTCATAGTATATAGAAGATGGTATAGATTAAATTAAGCCTGCTGAGTTATATGATGCTATGCTTTTACAGGTGGTTATGTGAAACCATTTACAATGTTTCTGTAGAAATTAAATAAGCATATCCAAACAGTGGAATAGCATCCCTACATGGTTTAATTGTAACCCAGGAGAATTTAGTAAATTCAAGCAGAACACATAGACTGTTATCAAAAATAGACAAATACTTTAAATTATAGTAGCATATTTGGAAACAAAAATCAGGAAATTATACATGTTAACAAAATGATATAACCATGCTTACGTACATTTGCTTATTAAACACTGAAGTAGAAGAACTAACCATTGTGCAGTTTTCAGAGGTGTTTGGCATCTTACTCTGTTCTGATGGAAGCACTTTGAATGTTTGCCTGGAGACATAAAACTGAATATTTAATTGACAATTAGTCATGCACCTGTATTTTTTAAAATTATGGATCACATTTTCTTCTTTTCTGATTGTTCAGCAGATTCTGACTTTGGTGTAGGAAAAGCTTGATGGTACAGATGTCTGTGGGTTGCTGCCGCACTGTAAAGCTTGTATAAAGCCTAGAATACAAGAATCAAGATCATACAGATGTAAAATTTTTCCTTTTTAGTTTGCTTAATTTATGGTACTGTATAAAATTCAAGATACTGATGAACTCTTTCTGTCATTGCTCTCTATAAGATATAAATTAATAACATCTTGAAATTCAAGATATATCTATAATTTATGTAAGATATAAATAACTAATATCTTGAAACTCAAAAAATATTTTCAGCTCATAAGTATGTGGTATCACTTTGTGGATTGATCTCCATGGTAAATATTTTTTTCTCAAATAGCACTTATTTTTACCTTGCCTACCTCTTGGAGTAGTTTCCCAGCCACTATGCTTCAGGAGGGTGTTCAGAACTCAAATACTCAATTGTGAATATTATCAGTTTTAGGTGAATTATAAGGGCTTATCCATTCTGACTGCCAATAACTCCTTTCTCATACATAGCTAGTCCACTTGCAGTCTGGGCTTCCAATATGTTTTCCAGAGTGGGACAGCTTTATTCTTCATCATTTCCCCTGTCGTGCCCCTCCCCCACTGCACCCAGCAAAAAATTCTAAATTCGTAGTTGCATTTAAATGCCCTCCAGTAGTTAATTTCCCCAAACCTCATAACTCTACTTAACTCTGAAACAGAGTAGCATGTACCATGTCAGAGCTTAAGAATTTTGAATTTTTCTACACATTCAGGAAACAATCAGATTCATTTATGATAATTCTGATATTTTTGGGCAGATCAAATCACATATAATATCCAGAATAAGTTAAATATTTTAAAATGTTAAAAATTCACAATTAAAAAGAATCTACATTGAGACACCCTTTAATTGTAGTCATTTTATAAAATAAGAATATCATGCTTACAAATATGTAACTTTTCATTTAAAAGAAAACTTACCTCATTTGTACTTCCCTGTGGCAAAGGCAGTTTAAAAAGGAGACAAGAAAAGTATACATACTGCTTCATTAATGGCATTTTGATATTCAGCTTTGTTTACGATACTAATTTGCGAGCATTTAAGAACAAATTCTTCAGTTTAGATTACATATTTTAACAGAATCAATTCTCTATTCCTCATAGGTTTCAGCATCATAATCTAAGAGGCTTTTGAGGTTTAAGACTCTCTCTGACCTTCTGTGGTTAAGAGACTATTAAAGACAGTGAGTGGCTAGAGGATCCAGTGTTTTACTACATCCATCCCCAGCATGCTGCTTACGTTTATCTCAACTGGATCCTTCAGAAGGCACACGTTTAATCCATTACTTTACAGTTCTGTTGTTCAGATTATATAAAAGCATGCTCTTAATGATGGGAGAATTGTAACTATTGCTTCCTACCTGCAGACCCTAAATGTTCAAGTCTTAAATCCACAATTTTATGAAGAATCTCAACTTTAGCTTCACTAAATTCCCCTAAATTTTCATGAGGTAACTGAGGATACTTCCAGAATGACATGGTGAGTTGATTATTGTTCCATGTATACTTAAAATTGTCTCCTTTGCTCCGATCCATTGTTTGGACAATGGGCCATGATGGCCCTGGCTCTTTAGGAAATGGGTAATTGGACCAGAAAGGACAACTAATTCATGAGCAGCTGATCCAGTTTAGCCCTCATCTCATGCTGTGGCCTGGCAAAAGTCTAGCTCAAACAGACAATCTGAACCATCTGATATCGCTTTTAGGAATTTACGCTAAAGACTGATGCGATTTTACGATCATGGTTCATACATACTATTGACATGCTAGTCAAATGATAACCCATAATCACAGCTACATAAAAACTGTCCCTAATACCTCTTTTTAACAGTATTTACAGTAAAGTATTTACAGTAAAGTAAAGTATTTACAGTAAAGTAAAAACTATATTTAACCAGTGGAATTTTTTAAAGCATTGACGTGTTAACGGGAAGGAGCTGTGTATGACTTATACTGTCCTGCATGAGAGTTAGTTGTTTGCATCTCGACACACCGTAAAGTTCTTGAGCTCTGGGAAGCAAATCATGTTAGTTTGTACTTGTGTATTTCCAGCATCTAATGCAAGGCCCAGCACATAGATGACATTCACATGTATGCTGAACTTGGCTGAGAATTCAAGTGTTCCTACCTGATCCCACAAGGCTGCAGCCACCTGGTCTATCACAGCTCCCAGCTCTCGGTATTCTCCAGAGTAGCGGATGTATGCCCAGGTGCACAGGGTGATGAGGGTCAGTCCCATTATCATGTTGCAGAGGCTAGCTATGATGTCCAGACCAATGAATCCAGTCACACCCGCAATCACATATGTGATAAAGATGACGACAAACAGCGTGGCTGGGGTACGAGCTGCGTGGAAGATGTTTTTGCTATCATTGTGCTTGATATACTGGATGTAAAGTTCATCTATTTCACTCTCCAGCTGCTGCAGGTAACGCCGGCTAAATTCTTCCCCACCCATCTTCTTCACCCCTCGGAATAGCTTCACAGATTCTTCCTTAAGCTGCAGATGTTTGGTCTGCAAGTCATTAGGGGCCAGAAATGGTTTGTCACCACCACAAATCTGTATCAGATGGAGAAGTATTTGTTTATGCAATGCAGAGTAAAATTAGCAACTGTAGCAAAACTTTTCACTTAGCTAGATGAGTGGGTTAGAACACATCAATAACTAGAAGTTTCTGCATAGGAATTTTGTCAATTTTCACACCTCTCCACCCTCCATAGCTATGAGGATACTACATGGGGTGGACTTATATAAAGTCATTCCTTTTTTTTTTGCAGTTTTTGGCTGGGGCTGGGTTTGAACCTGCCTCCTCCAAGTATATGGGGCCTGCGCCCTACTCCTTTGAGCCACAGGACCGCCCCTATAAAGTCATTCTTAACATACATTATCTTTCTGACATGAGAAATAACATCCATGACTTAAGTCCCTCAAGATGAAAAGACATGCATGACACAACATGAGTGCAGAGTTTATTCACAGAATTACTCCAGATCTAAGAAAACAACTTCTATCCTGTTCTAACTACACTGAATTAATTTTGACCAATGAAATTTAATTTGAAACTATGATCAATGTGATAAAGCTTTCCAAGCATTATGAAACACATTCTTTAGTACAGGGGTTCTCAACCTTCCCAATGCTGCCACCCTTTAATGTAGTTCCAACTGTATTAACACAGCTTACAAACATTTGACATGTTCCTGTACAGTTCCAACTGTATTAAAGGGTTGCGGCATGGGGAAGGTTGAGAAGCACTGCTTTAGGAGTTGCACTAATTTTTGTTTGAATGGAGCCCACTGAATATGAGTATTTTCTTCCAGAAACTGAATAGAAGCATATAAAATGTTCGTAAGCTGTGTATTCAATTTTTGAAAAGTTACAAAGGACATTCCAGTTAACCATAACATTCACTTTGGTCTCAGGCATACTTGAGAGACACCACACATTTGGTTCCAGACTCCCACAATAAAGTGGATACTGCAGTAAAGGGAACACAGCAAAACAGTGAGTTGTAATGTTTGTCTCCCATTGTGTATAAAGTTAGGTTTACACTATACTGTGATCTGTTAAGTGTATGGTAGCGTTATGTCTACATGTACAAAACCAAAAACCCTTTCTTGCTACATCATGCCAGTGATTATCTGAGCTTCAGCAAGTCATAATGTTTTTGTTGAAGGTCTTGCCTCAGTGTTGAGGCTGCTGACTGACCAGGGCGGTGTTTGCTGAAGGCTGAGGTGGCAATTTCTTTAAGACAACAAAGTTTACCACATCAACTGCATCTTCCTTTCAGGAACGATTTCTCTGTAGCATAAAATGCTGTTTGAAATTGGAGTCATTCCTCTCACGTGTTGCCACTGCTTTATCAACTAAGTTTTTTTAATATTCTAAATCCCTGGGAAGTATAGGGAGGTAGATGGAATACGGAGAGGGTGTTCAAATAAACAGAAGAAGTAAGACCTACTTATTTTAGACCTACTGTTTGATAGCTCAGTAGGCTCACCATAATTAACAGCAGGCTAGTGTACATTCAGAATGGCTACAAGAGAGTAATTTGAATGTTTGTAGTATGAGGAAAAGATCAATAATTAAAGTCATGGATACCCCAATTACCCTGATTTAGTCTTTACACATTATATGGATATATCAGATTATCTGTACCCTGAAAATATGTACATCTATTATGTGTCAATAAAAAATTCTAAATCCTTTATTGTTATTTCAACTACGCTCACAGCATCTTCACCAGGAGCAGATTCTATCTCAAGAAACCACCTTCTTTGCTCATCCGTAAGAGCTCCTTCTCACCTGCTCCAGTCTGGTCCTAGACCGCAGCAGTTCAGTCCACCTTTGGGCTGCACTTCTCATCCTACCTCGTGTGCTCTTTCTGCCACATCTGCAGTTACTTCCTCCAGGGAAGTCTCAAACTCCTCAAAGTCATCCATGAGGGTTGGAATCAGTGTCTTCCAGGCTCCTATTAATGCTGATCTTTTCACCTGCTCCCAGGAGTTGCTAGTTCTTAATGGGATGTAGAATGGTGAATCCTTTCCAGAAGGTTCTATATTTGCTTTGCCCAGATCCATCAAACGAATCACTGTCTATGGCAGTATAGACGTATGAAATGTACTTTTTTTTAAGACAACTTTTTTATGTTGCCCTCAGTAGAGTGCTGTACCATCATAGCTCACAGCAACCTCAAACTCCTGGGTTTAAGCAATTCCCTTGCCTCAGCCTCCCAAGTAGATCTCAACGATGCAAACCATGTGGTGTTATCCAGGCGTCGTCGTCCCATTTACAGAGCACAGACCGAGTAGATTTAATGTATAAATCTTATGGGTGCTAGGGTTTTTCAAATCGTAAATGAGCACTGGCTTCAACTTAAAGTCATCAGCTACATTAGCCCCTAACAAGAGAGTCAGCCTGTGTCCTTCAAAACTTTGAAGCCAGGCGTTGGCCCTTCTCTCTAGTTATGAAAGTCCTAGAAGGCATCTTCTTTTCAATACAAAGCTACTTTGTCTACACTGAAAATCACCTTATTAGCGATCTCAAGGTCCCCTACCTTCTCCATCAGCACTTGCTGCTTCACCTTGCGTTTTTATATTATAATGATGGCTTCAACCTCTGCTGGCTTCAAACGTGTTTCCAGCAGCTTCTCTCACTTTACGCAGGATGGAGAACCAGTCTTGCTCTGGATTAGGTTTTGGCTTAAGGGAATGTTACAACTGGTTTGATCTGTCCAGACCACTAAAACTTTCTCCATATCAGCTATAAGCCTAGTTTGTTTTCTATGTATTCACGTGTTCACTAAAGTAGCACTTTTAATTTCCTCCAAAAATCTTTCCTTTGCGTTCACAGCTTGGCTGTTTGGCACAAGAGGCCTCGCTTTCGGCCTGTCTCACCTCTCAACATGCCTTCCTCCCTAAGCCTAATCATATCTCACTCTTGATTTTAAGTGAGCAATGTGAGACTCTTCCTTTCACTTTAACACTTACAAGCCATTGTAGAGTCACTAATTGGCCTAATTTCAACATTATAGTGTCTCAGGGAATAGGGAGGCCCAAGGAGAGGGAGAGGGGAACGGCTGGTCAGTGGACCAGTCAGAACACACACGACATTTATCAGTCAAGTTCACCATCTTAAATGAGCATGTGTCACGGTGCCTCCCAATCACAACAGTGACACTGAAGATCACCATGACAGATAGAATAAGAATGAAACAATTTGGAATCTTATAAGAATATCCAACATGTGATATTCTATCCAACATGTGATATCCAACAGAAACAACGTGAGCACCTGTTGGGAAAATGGCACCGATAGATTTGCTCCGCCCAGGGCTGCCCAAACTTCAGTTTGTGAAAAGCACAGTAAAGTGGGGCGCGCCAACAGCAAGTCGCCTGCATCTGAGAATTACCTGTATCGAGAGTATTTTCATTCCGATAGCAACTTACCTCTGTCGTAAGCACCATTCCATACATTATGCTTCCCTATTCTAAGACTCCCATCAATTTTGGATGTATTTTAATTTTATAACATTTTCAAGGAGAATAAAACCTGTCACACTGGTAGATATACACACTACTTATTAGATTCATCCTAATTTGGAATGTTCAAAAACAAGGAAATACAGTATATGGAAATAGTGGTCCTTCACGACTGATTTTTTTTTTCCTGAAAAGCTTTATCTTTAAGAGAGAAACAGGAATTGTGGAATCTAAGGGCAGTATAGTGGTGAGGGCAGCACATTATTTTAGCCACTAGATCGTATAAATAGAAGATCTGTGCCCCCCAAATGTGAACAGGGAAATACTATGTAAAGAGACAATTCATTTAAAATGCCTTTAGGTTTTGTTTTTTTAGATCTGTCATCCTGGATAGAGTGCCGTGGTGTCATTACAGCTCACAGCAACCTCAAACTCCTGAGCTCAGCCTCCCCACTTGTTGGAATTACAGGCACTTGCTACCATGCCCAGCTAATTTTTCCAT